CCACTGTATGGCCTGTCGCAGAAGGTGTCCTAGTCTGTGTCCTATTGCTGTGAGAAATCAGAGCAACCCAGGAAGGAAAGGACTCCTCTGGCTTTACTCTACAGTCTGCTGTCAGGTGAAGTCAGGACAAGAGCACAGGGAGGAGTTTGGAGGCAGGAACTGAAGCAGAGACCATGGAGGAACACTGCTTACTAGCTTGTCTCTTTCCTTCCTTCCTTCCTTCCTTCCTTCCTTCCTTCCTCCCTCCCTCCCTCCCTCTCTCCCTCCCTCCCTTCCTTCCTTCCTCCCTTCCTTCCTCCTCTCCCTTTCTCTTTCTCCTCCTCCTCCTTCTTCTTTTCCTCCCCTTCTCCTCTTCCTTCTTCTTTTTGGTTTTTTTTTGAGACAGGGTTCGTTATATAACAGTTCTGGCTGTCCTGGAACTCATTCTGTAGACCAGAGTTCTAGGCTGGCCTAGAACTCACAGAGGTTTGCCTGCCTCTATGTCCCAGATGCTGAAATTAGAGGCATGCGTTACCACTGCCTGGCCTTGCTTGCTTTCTTATACCACCCAAGACAAACGCTTGCAGACATCCCTACAGGCAATATGATGGAGTCCATCTTTCAACTGAGATTCTCTCTTCCCAGATGACCCTATCTTGTGCCAAGATGGCAAGAAACTACTAGCCTACATTTAACGATGCTTTTTCATGAATTCAGGGTAAGTAGGTTAACTAGCCATTTGTCATCTCAAAACACAGAGGAAGCCTGCTAGAATTTATCACCCTCTGGGGCGGTCAAGGACTTGGGCAGTAGAGACCCGGAGTATCATTCTGTCGTTGGTAGTCCGTTAGCATGTCTGCATATGATGAGCCTCCCACATTCTGAGCATTTTCTGAGCTCCTATGTCCATGCCAAGCTTCCTGCTCCAGCGAGGGTGCTTCAGATGAAGAACTGCATGCTAAGGCTATCCTTCACCTTCATGTCTGAACTCCAAGGAGACATAGAGCTTTTCTCAAAATAAAGACTGTAGATTGCTAATAGATTACTAATAGTCTTTGTGTTCACATGTGTGGAGGTGTGTGTATGTAAACACACATGGAAGCCAGAAGATGACCTTGGGTGTCATTCTTGCTCAGATGTCACTCACTTTGTTTTTTGAGACAGAGTCTCTCACTCAGACTTCCCACCAAGGAGCCAGAGGGATGAGCCTGTGCATATCCACTTGGTGCTGGAATTACAAGTGTGGACCAGATCAGCCCGTGTCCACCTCCTCAGCGCTGGAATTACAAGTGTGAACCAGATCAGCCCGTGTCCACCTCCTCAGCACTGGAATTACAAGTGTGGACCAGATCAGCCCGTGTCCACCTCCTCAGCACTGGAATTACAAGTGTGGACCACTGGATCTAGCTTGTGACAAGGTTGCTGTGGATGAAACTCAAGTCCTCACACATGCCCAACAAACACTTATGAGCTCATCCATCTACCCAAACTCCTGTCTTTCTAGTATCCAATAGAAGCCTTCATACACTTTTAGAAGAAATGGACAGGAAAAGGGGTCTCAGAAAAAAGTATTATGACATGATATTGTATGCAGTCTCATAAAGAGTTCAAAGGGAAGAACTTCGGGCAGGTCAGCTGAACACAAACACAACTCTAAATCTATCCGTTTCCTTGGCAATGACTCTGCCCGGGATGTGCTACCTTCTACTTGGTACTCAACCTTAACGGACCAGCATCAGGGTGACTGACTGCTCTCTGTGCATACAGCTATGCTGTATGAGGTGAAGGTACATTACATGCAATGAGCATAAATGTGGTGTGAAAACTAGGCTCTTACTTTGATGATGATGCTCTTCTCACCTCAGTAAATTATTCCAACCCCCGCCCCCAGAGGGACAGGGAGGCCAGAGAAAGCCAGATCTGCCGGTAGCTTCCCTGCCGTGTCTTCAGACTGCCCCTCACTCAGCCCCAGACATTTAGAAACTATCGATGTCTATTTTTAAACACTCATTATAATTTAAGAAGCAGGCTTTAACATCAGCAGTGAGATGGCGTGAGGCTGATAAACAATTTGTCTCCTGTCCTTTTGTCGTCTCTGTGAGCAAGCCCATGCTGACACAGCAAGGTAAGGGGACTCCACTCGTGGTTTCGGGGGATTCGTCATGGCAGCAGGGTCTGAGATGGGGTGGCTAGTCACACTGGGTCACAGAAAACATACAGAGATGAATGTCGGGGTCTTTCCCCTTTTCCTTTTTAGCCTGTCCAGGACTTCAGCCCACATTCAGAGTAGGAATTCTCTCCTCAAGTAGTTACTTCTCTATCTGTTCTCACAGACTTATCCAGAGGTGGGTCTCCTTGGTGGTTCTAAATACTGTCAGGCTGACAATCAAGACCAGCGATCACAAGCAGAAACATAAATGAATGGATCTTAGGCCACGTGTACATTGGGTTGATGAGGAAAATGAATTCCAATAACCACCTACCATATCCATCTCAAGAGTGAATTAGCTTCCTGTCACGACAACAAAGAACTCAAGGCAATCTGGTGTAGGAGGTCCTTCTGCATTTGTGTTGATTTCATTGGTTGAATAAAGAAGCTGCCTTGGCATTTTGATAGGGCAGCCCTTAGATGGACAGAACAGAATGCTGGGAAGAAGGGAAGTGTGCTTCCTCTAACTATCGCCATGCTGGATATATGCTGGAGAAGAGAAAGTGGAGTCTCCCTTGTTCAGAGGCATGAGTCCCCCACATCAGAAACCCCCATGCTGGCATTAGCTTATGTTAGGACTGACTGAAAGATCCTATTCCCTCAGCAAGTCAATGTGTTCTTCGGGTAAGGGGTGTAAATTGAGAAGACTATGTGCTCTGCTCATGCCCTGTGAAGAGCAGCCGACATGCAATGGTGGTAACAGCATAAGGAACTATGTGAACTCAGATTCCCACTCCGCCAGTCAAGAAGGTCTTACAATAGTAATTGCAAGATTGCAAGGCCAGGCAGTGGTAGTGCACACCTTTAATACCAACACTCAGGAGGCAGAGGCAGGTGGATCCTGTGAGTTTGAGGCCAGCCTAGTCTACAAGAGCTAGTTCTAGGACACCTAGGACTGATACATAGACAAACCCTATCTTGAAAAAAAAACCAAACCAAACCAAAAGACAATGGTAATTGCATTTAATTGGGAGGGTTTTGTAGAAAGTATCCTAGGCCTCTTCACTACACACACACGCACATGTATATATGTATATAAGTGTATATGTATATATACATGTGTGTGTGTGTGTGTATATATATATTCACTTAGGTATGCTAAAAAACTTAGAGGATATAATATATATCCCAGGTTAGGAGCAATGAACCACTCCGGAAGTGCAACAATTAGTGTTAATTATCAGCTTGACAAAAATCTAGACTTGATGGAGAGACGAGCCTCAGCACACGTCTATGATAGGGCTCTCTTGAGTGTGATAGAGGACATGGAAAGGACTACCCACTGAGGGTAGCGCCATTCTTCAGCTGGGACTTTGGACTGAGTAAGTGGAGAAAAGGGGCCGGGCTCTGTTCAGCCGGCAGATGTCATGTGACCAGCTGCGTCACACGTCCATCTGCATCATTTGACCGGCTGCCTTTGTTTCTGTGCTCTTGCCTCCACCAGCCAGTATCCTGTCCTGTCCCCATGCCTCCCACTAGTTGGCCTTCCCTGCCTCTTACTGTGGCTTCCCCATCATGACAGACTCTATCTCTCTAACTTGCAAGCCTAAATAAACCTTATCTCCTTTAAATGGCTTTTTTTCTGGGTATTTTAATCACAGCAACAGAAGGAACTAGTGAAGATAATATTTTTCATCTGAATGTTCATAGAAAGAAAAATGAGAACTATACTTTCACACAATGACCCCAGATATTAGGTGTCAGTGAGCCGCACCCAAGAAGGCTTTCCTTGAAGACTGTTACCTGATAGAAGAACATGTAGCATCCGCTCTCCACAGTGCTGCATAAGCATCATCGATTTCAGGTTAATCCCTGTCGCTTATTCAACGACCGCTACATCTGTATGTTCTGCATCCTGCCTTACAATTTCAGTATGAATTAAAATTTAATGCTTCTTTTGCATTAAATATTTATACGATACAAACTTATTTTTCACAGATCTGTGACTAAAAAGAAAAGGATGATTTCTAATAAAAAAAATGACTTGAGATTCTCAAACTGTGTCACAATCAAATAAGCAAAAGATGATCAAATAACCTTCCTGAGCATGAAGGTGAAGGCTCTGCTATAGGAAAACACCCTGGAGTTCTCTGTCCAGAGTCAAAGAAGGAACTACTCTGGAATAATTGAGGTCAAGAGCACCAAGTCCTTGGAAGGCACACAGTTTGTGCTTTCTGTGCCCCACGCACATCTCGTCAGCATGGAATTTTTCATATTACTATGCAATGTAAGAACAATAAAGACAATATTCGAGGGTCTGAGCAGATGGCTCAGAGGTTAAGAGGTGAAGAGAGGTGGCTCATTTGCTGTTCTTACAGAGAACCTGTGTTCAGTTCCCAGCACCTGCATGTAGCTTACAACCACCTGTAACTACACAAACACACACACGCACACACACACAAACACACACACAAATGAATAAAATATTTTTTAAAAATATATTTACTACTTCACATTTAGATTTTTGACTCTGTAATATCATTCCCCAAACTAAGGGCTGTGAAAAGAACACCAAAAATACTTTGAAAATTTTTGTATGCTTTTGAGGTTATGCTTTATTTCTTCACTTGTTTTGAAATATTGGGATCAAAGTCAGGGCATTGTTCATGCTAGGCAGGCGCTCTGCTGTTGAGCTACAGCCCCAGGCCACCGATGTCATGCTTTATGCGATCATGTAAAACATTTCGTTCTTTCCTTAAACACAGTCCATTTGTCTCATTCTTGTTGTGACAACTTTATGAAGGGGACAATAGCTATTAAGCCTTAAACATTACATCTTTTCGCTTGTCACACTTTAACGACTGTTCTCGGCTTCACAGCCATTTCCTTGTCCATCTGTGGTGCTAATGGCATTCGGAGGGTGGTTAGACATGGGAGCAGCTGTGAAAACGTACGCGTTCATGAAGGAAGGGTGTCAGTAATTTGGAGAGAGCAAGGGAGGTCACTGGAGTTTAGAGGCGACACAGGGAAGACTCTGGAGTCTGGTGCTGGGAGCAGGAGGAGGGACTTGTTTCTCCCAGGGCTTTGTAGTTAAGTCTCCTTTGTTGCTTCCAGTAGTCATTGTGGCATGGTGGCTTTTGAAGCTGCTACCCCTTTTAGATGGTTCCTGTTCTGAGGTGAGGCCACTCTGGACTGTCTCCGCAGCTTCCTTTAAAGTCTTTTGCTAACTCTGGCGGAAGTTCTCATTTCTATGATAGGAAAATCTACTCCTGGGGCATCTGTACACAAGGTAGACTTTGGCAAGTTTTGTGGTGGGGGCAGAAGAGACAATAGCTTTGCACAGTGGACTTGTTTCTTGACATCCCTTCCCTGCCTTCTCCCAAGGGTATGCCTTTCTGTACTCCATGATCTTCCAGACGTGACCATGCCCAAGCCCAGCATCTTCCCGAGACATCTCTGTGGACTGTGCATGGCTTACTTCTCATCTCCATGACCAAATCCCCTAACAGAAGCAACCTGAGAGAGGGAAGGTTTATTTTGTCTTGGGATTTCATAGGGTTGAGTCCACTACGAACAGTTTGGTCACAGAGAGAAAGCAAGGAAAGGGGAATGCCAGCATTGGCCTCTGTCTCCTAGGTAATTTTGAGTCAGTCAAGTTGATGGCGATGATTATGCATCTAAAGAATATGTATAAGTGTTTTTTCACTAGTGTATAAAATCCAAAAAAGAAAATCAATAATATTTTAATTTTGTATGACTTCAATTCTGCAGTTCATTCTTCTGGCATGAATATGAACCAAATCCCCACTGTATCTCTGGCCCGCCTGTCAATGCAGTGTCAGTGGATTCTAATTTTAAAGGCGCTTTTATGTCAAAAAAAAAGTTTGGTCAATTTCATAGTAAGATTTATGACTGGGTGTCATCCCTAACCCCAAGTTAACACAGCAAGATCTGGGCATGCCATCCTTAACTCCAGGTCAACATAGGAAAATCTGTGCATGTCATCCCTAACCCCAGGTCCACACAGCAAGATCTGGGCATGTCATCCCTAGCCCCAAATCAACACGGGAAGATCTGGGCACAATTTGAGTCATGGGCTCAGGTCAGAATGGTAAGTCCCGTGTAGGGGAGGGAGTAAGAAATCATTGTTGGTTGTATTCCTGCCCTGAACCAGACCCAGAGCAGGGTACTGGGGTTAACTGTGAAGCAAGATAGGCTTCATCCTCATGAGATCTGTGGTCTGATGGGGAGTCAACAATCATACAAGCTCAAACAGCTTGGTGGCAGGGGAATTGTGGGTAGAGTGAGACTATCCCAACATTCCCCGGAGACTAGAGACAGGATGGGAATGGGAATGCAAGATTTTCAGGGCAGAGGTAACAGCAAGTGTGTAGAGGGAAGGAAATAGACAGTGTGTGGGGGTCAGGAAAGGAGACTCAGCCTTGTACACTGTCATATGCCTCGAGTCTTAGCGTTCAGGAGGAGGCAGGAGGTCATCTTGGGCCACACAGTGAGATTCTGTCTCAAAAAGAGAAAGAGAGTGAGATAGAGGGAGGAAGGCAGGGAGGAGAGAGAGAAAAGTCCCATTTGGGGCTGGGACAGAGAATATAGAGAGGCAGGGCAGGCGTGACCCCAACAGGGTCTAGAGAAGAAAGCCCAGTGTATGACTCCCATGTCTTCAGTTCTGGAGAACTTTGTTTTGTTTTGAGACAGAGTCTCTCTACATAGCTCTGGCTGTCCTAGAACTCACCATGTAGACCATGCTATGTAGACCAGACTGGACTCCAACTCAGAGATCTGCTTGCCTCCCTCTCCTGAGCACCGCTATTCAAGGTATGAACACATGTTTGGATTTCCGAACCTTTTCAGTTTGCCCCTGTTTCCTCACACTCAGCTGAGATCCAGCGTCAGTCTGAACTCACGCTGGCACTCTGACCACACCTCTGCTTGCTAGAGGCCCAGGTAGCTGTGAGGCGTGGCTGTCACTCTCTGAACCTAACACAACTCTCCAACAACTGGGGCAGGCAACCAAACCAGAGCTTTTGGGGTAGGCAACCAAACCAGAGCTTTACTTTACGAGCACAGACTTTGTTAAGTTACCAATGGGGGGAAGCAACAAAACACAATTTTTATTGATATCAACAACCTTGCATGAAGAGTTGTCTTGACCAACCTTTGGGATAACACTAATACACTGGCTTTTACAGACAGGATTTCATGTCCTTTTTCTTTATCTGATGTATTTTGAAGACAATGACAAAAACAAATGAATTTTAATTAACTAATTAACTCAGTAGTAATAGCCAGATCCTAGAGTTGCAGAAATAAGGGAACAGTCCTCTGAAAGTCCCAAGGTCTTGGACACACATAAACACCGCGTGTGTCCATAGTCATGGCAGAAATGAGGGGAAAAAGTGAATGGAGAGGGTGAGGGGCTGATAAAGCTCAGGAGGAGCTGATAAATTCAGGGGACAATGTTTTTATTTGTCCTTTCCTTCCTGGCTCCTGCTGCCTGTTGCTATCTGCCCAGGGTTTCTAAGCCACGTCTCCAGTACCACAGCAAGGCCGTAACCGACTAAGAAGGCTAGAAAGAAAGTGTGCTGGTCGCAGAAGCCACCATCCCACTTTGGTGACATAGTGTCCGATGTTCAAACCCCTTCCTACTTCCATGCCTTCCTCTGACCTGTCTGACCGCAGAGGTCTCCTCTCTTCAGAAGGCAATAAGACACTCTAGATACCCGAACACGCCCCACCCCAAGTGCAGGAACTAATGGTCAGCGAACAGAGCAACTAAGTAGGAAGGGTCCAGGGTGGGGATGGCTAGAGAGGCGGCTCGCTGGTGAACAGCCCTTGTTGCTCTTGCAGAGGACCCAGGTTCAGTTCCCAGCACCCCTATGACTGCTGAGGACCATCTGTAACTCCATTCCAACACCCTCTTCTCCTCTCCAAGAGCACTGTACACAGCGAGCACAGACACATAGTGAGACAAACGACTCACACGCATAAAATAAAAATAAACCTAAACAGAAAAGACCTACAGAATGACATGAGTCGAAGACCAGGAGATCTGCATCCATGGAGAGGGGCATCACAGCCACGCAGAACACACGAGAAGAGCACACAAACCACAGCAAGAGGAAGTTCCATTTCAGTCATTCTGTGTCCTGAGTTGTCCACTGATTTTTTAAACTTCTGAATGGAAGTTGGCAGTAAACACTTGGTGGCCTTGTAAAGTAGAATCAGGTACATTTTTTTTCCTCCATACACCTTGTAATCAGCTCCCAAGCTCCTACACTGACAGCAGATGATTTCTGAGCATGGAATACCTATGCGTGTATTGTATATTGTCAGTCATAGTTACTTTTTCATTTATATGCTTCTGTATGGAACAAAATTATAGGACCTTTTATCCCATAGAACATGGATACCAAATACCAATGACAAGATCAATTTAATACTTGAAGCATCCCAGAGGGGCAGGGCCATACTTCTCATTAAAAACTCCATTCCTAACTTTTAACACAACCCTTGGCTTGGAAATAGGTGCCCGCCAGGCATGTGATGACCGACGTGCATAACTTCCGGTGCATGGTGGCCTGTGACAGCATGGACACAGGACATCTCACCAGACAGGGCTGGGGTGAGGAGTGCACAGCTGACCTTGGGGTCTAGGTTAGGGTGCCCTCCTTTTCTCAGTGGTACTCAACAGCGCTCTTAGAAACAGAGCCATTGGGTGATAAAAAGAAAAAGCTTTCTAAAGACAAACATATAGAGCAGTAGGAATGCAAAGAAAATGGAAAACGATTGAGATGACTAGTTATGAACTTCATCATGGACCAGGAAGGGATGAATGGAACTCAAAGGGAACAAATGAGAACATTCAAGGCACCAGTGATGATCTCCATGATATTTAAAGACTAGAGAATGGGGGTAATAATGAAAAATAAGCCCCAAAGAAAATATATATGTAGAGAGAGAGAGAGAGAGAGAGAGAGAGAGAAGATAATGGTGTCTAGGATTACAGAGGTTAGGTTGTACTGTATAATTCCAGCTTCCAGTGGAATGCTGAGGTAGAACAGAGGATGTCAAATCTATCTGCTGTGCTTTAGTGATGAGTGTGTCATCCTGGCTGTGTAGGGACATGGCTGGAGCAGTACTGAAGGGAGGAGTCAGAAACAAAAGTCCCCAGTGGGACGGTGGCAGGGACAGCATTACAGGAGGGTAAGAGCCAAAGCATGTCTGAGGCAGGGTTCTCCAGGAAATCAGGCTTACATTTGCTTAGCTGATTTTTTTGGAACAAGATCCCAGGGAATAGGGGTGGGAGAAGGGTGAGGGAGTGGCAGAAGTGGTGGTGGGGGGATGAAATGCGAGATACACACTTGACTAATTATCACTATGGGTGAATCGATCTCTGTCCTGATTTGAAAAACTTCCAGGCGGATCTCTGTGAGTTCGAGACCAGCCTGGTCTACAAGAGCTAGTGCCAGGACAGGCTCCAAAGCCACAGAGAAACCCTGTCTCAAAAAAAAACCAAAAAAAAAAAAAAAAAAGAAAAACTTCCAAGAAGCCACATGGAACGAACCTCAGGATGTATCCACTTTCTTCGTCCTCTGTCAGGTGTGCTTTGTAGGGGTGGGAACTCCTGGAAGTAGCATCACCAGACAGGTTTCTTCAAGTCTTCTCCTCTAAGGCTCTTGGAAGCTCCAGACAGAAAGTGAATGTTGCAGCTGAGGGAGGTATCAGGCTGCCAGGTTTCCACCTGCCTGGAGCTGTTTGTTATAGAAGGAGAAAAAGGTGGGCAGAGAGAAGGTAAGGGGAGGCACAAGAAGTGTCCATCACAAAGGGCAGAGGAGTCACTGTTAGTAAGCAACAGGTGGGAAAACAAAATCAACAAAAAGCACTGTAGGAAAAGCATCAAGGCTACTCCAGGTGGGAGACATGGGTGACCAAATGTTCAACATCAGCTTTGATTCAGAACTTGGAGAAAATGGGGATGAAAAGTCATCTGGCAAGTGACCAAGAATAGACTGCAAAGAAGAGGGCCAGGCGGGATGGTTCCTGCCCGTCCTAGACCACACAGATCCAGTTAGATCCAGGAACCTAATCACCACAAGGCTGCCCGTGAAATCAAGCTGTGGCCTGAGCAAGGATACAGGTGTGTCTGTTCTCAGAGAAGTTGAGCTGGGTAGTTGGTGACACATGTGCACACACTTACGCCTTTTCTAGGGAAGACTCTAGAGCGGTGGTTCTCAACCTGTGAGTCACAACCCCCACAGGGGTCACGAGTCAGCTACCCTGCATATCTGATATTTACATTAGCATTCATAACAGTAGTGAAATTAAAGCTCTGAAGTAGTAACAAAATAGTTTTATGGCTGGGGGTCACCACAGCAGGAAGAACTGCATTAAAGGGTCGCAGCATTGGAAAGGCTGAGGACCCCTGCTGGAGAAGGAGAGAGGAAAGCGGCGTAAAGGTGCCATTTATCAGATCCACTCGGCCGTTTCACCTATCAAGGTGAATTAATAAATTAGCATCCTGCTTTAGACCGTACTCTATGGGGAGGTTGTTTAGCTAGTTAAGCTCTCCAAGCCTCAACCACTCTGAGCTTGGTAGTAAATAAAATCTACGGAACTCCAAAGCGCAGGCTCCCAGCTTGCCCCAGTGACCACAACAGAGGGCAGATGCTGAAAGGTCGGACTTAGCTCTGCTCCCAACATTTTAAAACTCACCTCCTGACTCCAGTGCGCTGCTTCTGTGCTGGTTCTCACTCAGAAATAAAAGCATTTTTGCTTATATGACACTCGTCACCTTTTACTAAGTCGCCCTTACGCTCAAGCCAACCTGAACGCTCATGGGCTCGGTTTCTGCAGGTCGGGACTTTAGCCTGCCTTACGTGGTCCTTGCACCTCAGTCTTTAACAGACCACAGTCCAGACACCAGCTGCAATTGCTCATCTGAAGTTTGACTGGTCCGGGATCTCTTTCCGCATTCACACGGTAGTTGGAAGCGCTGAAGTCTGTGTGGCTACTTTTCCGAGGAGTCCATTTCTGGTCACCCCAAATAAAGTAATGTCAGACCAAAGAAATGATGCAACCTCAGTGGAACTTGGAGAAACAGTGAGTTTACTTAATGAAGCTTGAGTGAGGGTTGCTTCCAGGAGCATGACTACCTCAGGCAGCTGCCGCACTGAGAAGGTTACCCCACCTTGAGGGTCCCACAAAAACTGTATCACTGGTTCCCTAAACACCTGCAGGCAGCTATACCATGGAGGAGTTTCTCCATGAGGTCAGGGCAAGCCTGGGCTACACAGTGAATTCCAGACCAACAGGGCCTGGCCTTAGACAAATTCCCTCTAAGGCTATGATGTCGTGGAGGTTTTCCAGATTTCTGCTTCTCACGTCTCATTAGTACAAACTTGGACACAAGACCACAGAGAAGTAAGCAGAGGCTGGGAAGTGAAATTTCTTCTTAGACATCCATGAATCCTGTCAAAACTCGGAGTCAGGGGCTTTTATAAACAAAGATGAGACAATAGAAAGGGATGATAAGCAAGCTTCACTATGGTGACCAAGAATGGGTGGAAAGTTTAATTTGTTCTTTTCAGATCATCCAGTACATGTTTATTTGTCCCATTGTCCCATAGTTATAACCACCACCCGGGTAAGACAGAGTCACAGGTGTGGTAGTGGCATGACTGCCCCGGGAATAACCAAGTACTTTCTGGGAGCATGAAAGGCCCTCTTTGTGGAGGAAGTCATATGGATTACGGTAAATCCTGCCAAGAACGTGTGGCTAAGGAAGTGACAGGGAGGAACAGCTACCATTACATTCTTCTTATAACTGTGATGATTATCTAGAAAATATTATACAGTAGCAGAGTGGGAGGGTAACAATAGGCGAACATTGTTCTACTTGACTAAAATATTAACTTGAGCCGGGTGGTGGTGGCATGTGCCTTTAAAACAAGCACTTGGGAGGCAGAGGCAGGCGGATCTCTGTGAGTTAGAGGCTGACCTGGTCTACAGAATGAGTTCCAGGACAGTCAGAGATAAACAGAGAAACCCTATCTCAAAAATAATAATAATAATTAATTTGAGTCCAAGTGTGGTTTGACCTGTCTATAATTCTAACCCTTGAGAAGTGAAGGCAGGAAGAACAGGAATCCAAGATCCAACCTCAGTACATGGTGAGTTTAAGGCTAGCCTGGGCTAGGTTAGGCCATGTCCTAAAACAGTAACAAACTAGAAATATCTTTATCTATTTATATTTAATACACACACACACACATATTACACACACACGTGCACGCACACATAAATATATCCTAATTTTGAGGGTCTACTCCAGTGTAATTTTTTCTCAAACTAGAGAGAAAATTTAAGTACAACATGGTTCTCTGCATAACAGCCCTGGCTGTCCTGGAACTCACTCTATAGACCAGGCTGACCTTGAACTCACAGAGATCCGCTCGCTTCTGCCTGCTTAGTGTAGGAATTAAAGGTGTGTGCCACCACCAGCCAACCTAAATACTTGCTAAAACCAAAGTTCTAAAATAGATTACTGGGTAATTGCTAATAATTCCTGGATAATCCTCATTTTTACACATTTAATCACCAGTGCATCAAATCAAAACAGCCCCTAGTGCATTTATTTTTAAGACTAAATCATTAATAGTTCTATATTCCCTCACTAGGATCAGAGTCCTGGTAGATTGTAGATCGTATTAGGCAGGTGAGTACTGATTAAATTATGATTGTCAAGTGTCTGTCTGCAGGGTATTCCCAGGCGCTGGCAGTGGGTGAATCCCAGGCAAACCAGAGGAGCCTGTATTGGTTCCCCTCTATTCTGAATATTTTTAACATATGTGCTGCCTTTCGGTCATACACTTACTTAACAGTGTCCCCGTTTTCTGTTTGAAGGAAGACTTCAGGCTTAAGAAGAGTTTTTTATTTAAAACCTTCTTTTGTCACAATGGTTCTCAATCTGTGGGTGGTGACCCCTTGGGGTTAAATGACCTTTTCACAGGGGTCTCCTAAGACCATCTGCATAGCAAATTTATTTTGCATATCAGATTTTTGCATTGCAATTTGTAACAGTAGCAAAATTACAGTTATGACGTGGCAACAAAGATAATTTTATGGTTGGGGCTCACCACAGCAGGAGGAACTGTATTACGGGGCTGCAGCTTTAGGAAGGTTGGGAACCACTGCTATGCTGCATTAACTTATTAAAGAAGCTAATTTAGGTAAATCTTATTAAAGAAGCTAATTTAGGTAAATCTATCCCTACAACTTTGCGATTTTTCTCCATCTGGAGTTTCGTCTGTAGACATGCTGGCCAAGACGCGGCTGATGAGCAGATACAAGCCATTGGAAGTTCGGGGCAGCTCTCTGGGCTGAACTTTTCAAGCCTGTCGAGCCTTTTTTATTCGAACAATTGAATCCAGTGACATTTTGCAAGACAAGAAATTCAAATACACCTGTAGTTGCTTGCCTATTTGTGAGGACACTTCAGATTTTTTTGTTCCTGTTCTCTTTTGACGCAGCACGCAGCTATGGTACACTTTCCTTGTTTCCACCTGTGAATACGCCATGAGCTCCATGCAACAGGAGCTCTAAGGGGGTCCCTGCATTTCTAGTCTCTTAAAAGGGCATTAGACATTCCCAGGGTAAAGAAAAAGTCTTGGCATGACTGGCACAATGGAGTAATGAAACCTAAAGGTAATAGAAATAGCCGTGACTGTCCTCTGTGGAGTGCTTCCCGTGTGCCAGGTGTCACGCCAAGCACTGTGTGTAACGTTCTTCATTTAACTCTCACTAGAACTCTGTGGAGTACATAGCAATATTGTAGTTTTAAATACAGACCAGGAGATAAATGGCATGTTTCAATAAAGTAGAGCATGTCTGACATGCTTGAGAACAATCTTCTAGATGAGAGTTTGGCTCTCAGAAGGATGGGGGAGGCTTAGATTACAGGGTAGAAACAGTCTGCAGAAAGAATACTTATAGCTGAAAAAAATGATAAGAGTCTAAATATGAACACTAGCATCCTCATTGACTTAGAGCCTCCTGCTATATTACCAGGGTCAAGATGCATTTTTTTTTATATTGATGGGTAGTAGCCACAATAAAAGTTTAAAACTAGAGGCAAGTTTTGGGGGTCTATTCTTAAGCTTAGAGGCTGGCATTCATTCATTCATTAAATTAAAATATTTTCTGAGTCTCTAGTGTGTGAATAAGCACAGTGCTAAATGCCAGGACCACAAAATTAAAAGACAAATCAGAGACAATCACAAAGAAGACCCCTTAGGCTTAAAATGTAAAGAAATGTCCATTTTCAAAAGATATATAGGGGAAGGTGCAGGAGAGGAAGAGAGAGGGCAAGAAGAGACGCCACATTCAGGGAGTTGACAAGGCTTGGCAGTATGAAGCCAGATGATGAGGTCAGAGACGCAGAGCAGCTCTGATGCAGCCATTTCTGAAGTGCGAGAGCTGTTCCGGTCACACCAGGGAAGGAGAGCCGGGTTGGTACACCTCCTATAAAGCTGTGGAACCATCTAGGTGGCCAGGTGACTTGTCTTGGACTAATAGACAAGTATTGGGGTTGAACTTAATATATACATGGTGTGTGGGTGATTTGTGGGATATGGAGTCAGGATATGATGGCTTCCTGTGTGTGGTTTGTGTAACCTGTTGGAATGAGAGTCACTCACTGGGGACACAGCAGAAGGAATGAACTCGGTAAGGGGAGTGTCTGAGTCAAGACACGTGCATGTTGGCTATCAGGAACACCCCCCTGGAGACATCCAAATGCAAGTCCCTCCTCACCTCAGGCTGCTCAGCTTCACTGTGGCCTGTGGTGGGCTCAGGAAGGTAGGACGTCCACTCTATTCGTGTCCTTTTTTAGCTCCTGAGGCCCCTAAAGCAGAGTCCTTTTGCTCTGAGTTTTGGAATTGTATCAGCATTAGGATTTCCGTATTTCACTCTCTTTAATCTCCCTTTATTTCAGAGTGTTTCTGATCCACACAGCAGAGCAAGCCTCAAGCCACACACTCTCTTTTTATTCAAGTGTCCTTGTGTAATCCCTTCCCCTCCATCCAGAACACTCAGTCCCTGTGCCTGCTGCAGCAGAACATAAATTCACAACTGAGCATTTATGAGTGGAAAAATGATCACACACCTGGTCTCCATCTTGAGGTTCCCCCTCCATGCTCTATGTAGAAGGATAAACAGTTGGTTTTGTTTGTTCCGTGAAAGGGCCTCACTATGTTCCCTAGCTAGCCTGGAACTTGCCATGTAGACCAGGATGGCCTCCAGCTCATAGAGATCTGCCTCCCTTTGCTTTCCAAATGCTGGGATAAACACGTGTGCCACCATGCCCAGTGAGTTTTTTCTTTATTCTTTTGAAGATTTATTTTTAATTTATGGGTAGGAGAGCTTTACCTGCCTGTACACATGTGCAGCACATGTGTTTTTATCTCACCAGGGATAAAGAGGTAGATGTCGAATCTCCTGGATTACAGATGGTTGTGAGCCACTGTGTGGGTGCTGGGAACTGAAGCTATGTCATTTTTAAGAGTGACAAGTCCTTTTGACTACAGATCATCTACAGAGTCCCATACATGGTATTCAATCATTTAGTTAGTGGTGGATGGTGATGGTGGTATGTGTTAAGGAGTGTGTGTGTGTGTGTGTGTTTGTGTGTGTGTGTGTGTGTGTGTGTGTGCAAGTGTATACGTGCACAA